GTAATACAATTTTGTAGTATTGCAGTTGTTATTAACAGTTAAAAATAATTTAAACCTATTACTCACGCTTTATCAGATAATCCATTTCACGTTGTGATATTCAAATTTGTTCTTAGAATTAATAAAAGTAGATACTGTAGAAATTTATTGTTTTATTGATATTTATTATTCTCTAAAAAATATGACAAACGTTGTACTTATTACTTAATACCTATTTTACTAATACTTTAAAGATATTTCATTTTAATCTACATGACTTGCACAGAGAGTATTCCAATATTCCGCGTTCACACAGGGTGATTTATAGAGTATGTTAAGATATTCAGTGCTTCAAAAATGTTGCAAGTTATATCGGGTGTCCCAAAATTCACACAGGTTTTGAATTTTGCTCCATTTTTGCTGTAAAGTGTTGCCAACACAAAAAAGAAAACAGCGTGGCAGCTGACGATTTAGATTTATTAAAAATGGAATGCTACACGAAAGAACAACGCGTTTTCATTGTTGAGCAATATTTTTAAAATAATGTAGGTTTGGCAGTTACAATTTGCATTTTTCGTACAAAATATGATCGAAATGGTGATTTAACTTCATCAACTGTAAAGAAATTAATTGAAAAATTCAGGGGGACTAAATCAATTAGTGATCTTAAACACTCTGGACGACCTTCGACAAGTAGTCCAACAAAAAACATCGAAGCAGTTCGTGAAGCATAGTTTGTGTTGCTGAGAGTCCAAGAACATTAATTTGGCACCGTGGTCAAGAATTGGATATTTCGTGAAGCTCTTTACAGCGTATTCCCACGACAGATTTGCATCTTTATGTTACAAAGTTCGATTGACTCAAGAAGCCTACTGCTCTCTCAGAGCGAAGAGAGTTCGTTGAATGGTTAATAGAACAACAATAAGTGGATGCTGATTTTTCGAAAAAAATCATTTTCAGCGATGAGTCATTTTCCTCTTGATGGCTTCGTTAATCGACAAAATTGTCGACTTTTTTATTTGGGGTGTTTTGAAGTCTAAGGTTATGCCAACAAGTCCATGACCACCCACACCTAGTAGGAGGAAATTGAACCCTATATCAACGAAATTCAGTCGTATTTATGGAAAAGGGCTATATAAAATTTCGACAAAAGAGTGCGTGTGTGCCAACAAAGCCGTGGAAACCATTTACCCGATATGCTACTCCATACACAACACTATACTATACTGTATACTTTAATTAAAAACCTGTGCCCATCAAAATTACTTCCTGCGTGAATTATAGGACACACTTTATATCTGTCTCCACTAGAGAAAACTTTCACGGAAACGTTTCAACTTTTGAAACAAGCTTACGGAAATGATGCTCTGGGTCGTACGCAATGTTCTGAATGGTTCACGCGATTTAAAAGTGGTCGTCAGTCAATTGAAGATGATCCTCGACCAGGAAGGCCTTCGACTTTAACTGATAACCCACGTTCAGAAAGTCAAAGATTTGGTGCGTTCAATCGTCAATTGATTGTCAGAGAAATTGCAGAAGAGATTAACATCTCAATTGGGTCATGGTATGAAATTTTGACTGAAAAATTGAACATGCATCAAGTTGCAGCACATTCAGCTTTGTCAATTCGTCAGTTTTGTGTCAAAAATATTACTGTCCTTCCTCAACCTCCTTACTCGCTAGACCTGGCTCCTTGCGATTTTTTCTTATTTCCAGAATTAAAATTAGTGCTGAGTAAACGCCGTTTTCAGACCATTGATGACATCAAAGCAAATTCGTCACAGACTTTGAAGGCCATTTCAAATTAAACTATCCACACTAAATAAATCGGTCTGAGTGAAAGCTGAGTGAGTCCATTGAGTGAAATTATTGAGTGTACATTTTCAATCAATATTGGGCATTTTAATAATTTTAAACATTTGTGATAATTTGAACTAAAACTGATAGTTCATAAAATTCACAAAATTTTAGTTGTACCTACTCATACTAATAGAAGAAGATTTCACTCAATCGGGTGGACAGAAATTGATACAGTATTGAGGGAAATTGAATAAAAATAAGTCCAATTCTTCTTACAGTGCACGAGTACTTCGCGAAATAGAAACACCATTAGGAAAAGTGTGTGAATAGAAGGAGTACTTTGAAGGAGACAAGGAACGATAATATATAATTCTCAGAACTTTTGTTCATATTTTTTTAATTTGATACTCTCATATTAAATTAAAAAATAAGTGTCCAATTCCAGTAGAACAGTTAGGACCAAAATATCTGATAATGCATCCTATTAACGTTTCGAAAATCAATATTTTTTTTGTCATCAAAGTTTGTAATGACGTTTTTTTTAGTTTGGTAATTTAAATTTGTTTGTTTTTCTCCGCATTTATATGCTACAGTATCATAAGGTATGTGGGCTAGCCGCTAATGGGTAGTATAAGGTCACAGCATGGCTTTTGTGCGTTTTTCCCCGCTCCGTTTTCATTGTAAGAAAGAAGAGAGAAATTATTGAAAAAAAATTCTGGTTTTTTGCACATTAAATAAATAACTTATTAAATATGAAAAAAAAAAAAATAAGCTAAATGTACTCATTATTTCACTTTTGGGTGAATTAACAAGCCCAACTGTCTTACCAACCCATAATCTTATAGTATGTGGCTTGGTTTCCATTGCAGGTTCAGTCATTGCATAATGTGCAGTTAACTTTTGAATAATTGGATATTATTGTTTTGAGAGAATTCATGTCCGTAGAAAATTTGTTATGAAATTAATCAGACATGATGAATTCTTTTTTATTTGACGGTGCCTTTGTGCATTGGATGCAGCGAGCGGAGGACGCCCACAAGAGGACCATTTTAATTCGGAAAGGAGCATAAAAAGAATCTTACGGATTTTGGTATACCTAATACATACAGCGTGTCCCGCTGTAATGTCCGGAAGAGGGAAAAGTTTTTTATTTGTGAGTTTACGGCAAAAAGTCACTCTTTGTAAAAACTCCCGCTTGTTCCAAAATGGTAAAAACTGTTAAAATATTTGTCATTTTTTATACAGGATGTTCAGTATTTAGAAAAATATTGTTAGTCGACAAGAGTAAAATACCGTTATTTTTGACAATATAGAAAAATATTATCAGGGGTGTGATTTAGGATCCACAGGGGATTAAAATTTTTTAATTTTTTTTAACAATGCGGGCAGCTAATTTGTATGTACCACTTGATATTTTCAAAATTTATGCAATACTTAATCAATTTCTTTAATTTTATTTTTATTGAGTCAATTTATTGCTAATAATGAAAATTTACATAAACAAAGAATAATGTAATTTAAATTTACAAAAATAAATTTTACTCAAATTTATTGCCTCCAATTTCTGCACAAATTTCAGCTCTTCTAATAAATTCTCTATAGACATTTCGTATTTCGTATAGAGGAATATTAGCTCTCGGTGTGCTAATGGCATATCGTTTAGGTAGTTTAAGAAAAACGTACTTAGTAACTGCAAATAAGAATGCTGTTCAAGTTTCCCTCTATAAAATAGGGTCCAACTATTCCAAAATAAGAAACGGCACACCAAACGTTAACTTTTTTTTAATACTGTCGTCTACAATTAATCCGAAAATTAGGATTTTCCGAAGCCCAGTGTCTACAATTTTGAACGCTAAGTATTCCATTCGTGGAAAAAGTCGCCTCATCCGAAAAAATAATATAGTGGGAAAAATTTCTGTTTTCTAGATGGTGCTTACCCACCCATAAACCAAATTCCAACCTTTTAGAATCATCCCCTTCTTCTAGTGTATGGACAAACTTTGGTTTATAAGGATGTATTTTATTTATTCTTTTTTAACAATCTTTGTAAACGAGACTTACTAACGTTTCCAATTTCTGATGCTCTTTTTCTTAAAGATGTCTTTGGGGCATTTCTTATTGATTGCATCACTAATTCTACAACATTTTCTTCTTCGTTAACCGCTGTTACCCTTTTCTTTTTTGATACAGAACTAATATTTTTAAATTTTTGTACAATCCGTTTGATAGACTTATCTGTGACTGATTATGTCAGGCCATTTCTCATTAAATCGTCTTTGAACTGCCGCGAATGATATTTCTTCACCCAAACCATAGCACTGAACAATAAATGTATTTTTTTCAAGAGTGAGCATTGTAATCTCAAATAAAATATTACCTAATTAATCATGAAGTGATTTTATCAGAATATAGTAAACATTATTTGTTGTTATAGCCACAGCATCCGTCATTTTAAACTCCTCTATTATAGCACGCACAATCAGGTACCCGCCTAGTTTAAAAAAAATCAACAGAAATTAGTGAAACCCAAAATTTTTAATCCCCTGTGGATCCTAAATGACATCTCTGATACTTTTCGATATTGTCAAAAATAACGGTACTTTACTCTTGGCGACTAACAATTTTTTCTAAATACTGAACACCTTGTATAAAAAGTTGCAAATATTTTAACAGTTTTGACCGTTTTGGAACAAGCAGGAGTTTTTACAAAGAGTGACTTTTTGTCGTAAACCCACAAATAAAAACCTTTTCCCTCTTCCGGACATTACAGCGGGACACACTGTATATTTTTAGGCATATTAAAGAAAAAATGTATGTTGAAAATACTTGTGGTTAATATTAATTTTATCTTCTGCGGAAAATGAGTCCAACAAATTTGATAATAATAATAATATTTATTAACTGTTTTGTATTTAATGGTAATAATTTAAATTATTCAAATAAAAACTACAAGTTGATTCTTGAAGTGTATATCTTACTATAGAATGTAGTCAAGATGTTCAGACAAATTTTATAATTTAGCTGATGATATTTACAATTAGACAACTGTTAACTTCTGACATGCTGTATGTAATGAAATAAAATAGAATAGTGAGTCTCGTGTACATAAAAATTGCAAAGATATCATTTCTTATCTATACTTTTTACCTTTAGATAAAACATATCAGTCATCAAAATTAAAATGTAGTTAGAATGTAAATTACAACAGTTATAAGTTTTTAAATAAAACTAGCCCAACGTAATATGGAAAGTGATTTTTCTTATATGGACTTTGATTTGTTTGACGTAGCAAAAAGTGAGTGTTTTTCTATACTTAACCTCGCGTTAGACAATCTGGAACTCTACAATTTTAATGTCGATACTCAGGATGCTAAAAATGGCAATACACTATTGCACTATGCTGCTGTAGCAGGTAAACAAAACCTTAGGTTAGTTACCGTACTTCACAAAATGTGAAATTTATTTTAACTGCATTGAACTTTTTTTTTGCTTAATATAGGTTTGGCCTATTGTAGATGTTATGACTTCTACATTTATGTACACAAAAAATAGTCTTCTGGGGCTGTTAGAACTTAAAAAATAAGGGCTTTATTTTTGGGGTAAATTGCGTTAAAGATAATTTTTTAAATCAAGTTTTTTAAAATATTCTAGATTTGAAAAATACACATATATTTTAAGAATCAGCAAGAAAATTATAAAATATTTTAAAATGTCTCAGGAGAAATTTTATAAACTCCACCTCCACCAACTATTTCTTATTATTACTTGCAATTATTTGTCAGAATATTAAATATTTTTATATAAGTCGCTTACGCAGTGTCACCAGTGTAAACAATTTTCCAATATTTAATCATTTTCATCTAGGTGTCGAGAAACAAGTGGATCATATTCCAACAGTAATTTTCTTGGACGAAATTAAACCGATTTAGAGCGTTACTTTAATAAAATTTTGTTTTTTAAAATGCCAGGGATACTTGTATCTACTAATTTTGTTTTAATACTTTTATCACCTTTTAAAGATATTTCTAGGAAATTTCTGAGGTGGCCGTAGATGCATACCTAAACTTGTTTTTGTACCTACGCAAAACGCCCAGATTACTGGTAATACCTAAAACAGTCATTGTTTTTTCCTTACCATTTATTTTGCTGGTAGAAATTTTAGAAAAACCTGTGTTTTAAAACAACGCTTTATCTGAGAGAAGCTATATTTATTTCATGTCGCTAAAATGCATCGTTTCAGAGAAAAATCACTAATTCACTAATAGCTCTGAGTATTTGGAAACTTATCTAAATAAACTTTATATTTTTGTATTTTAAACTTTTAGTTACTTGTAGCTATATAACATGTTTTTTAAGATTTAAACTAATTTATGTCTATTTAATTCAGATACTGAAAAAAAAATGCGGTTATTCTTCACGACTTATATACAGGGTGGTCCAGATTTTAAAAGACAAACTTCGGAAAAGTATTAAACAACAAAAATTAACATCACTTTTTTTAAATCAATGGAAAACCGTATCATCAAATTTATTCAAATTTGGTATACATTTTTTTTCAAATATTTCTCCTAGTTCTGTATGCACACAGTCCAAATTCAAAAACCAGTGGCGGAAAAACAAGGATATCGTTTCCTTATTTAAAGTTAGTTAAAGTAATTTATTTGTTTTTCATTTAACTTTACACTGTGTACCAAATTTGGATAAATTTGATGAAGCAGTTTTCCAGATATTTAAAAAAAAATTGTTTTTGTTAATTTCAAAGCCCTGTATCTCATGGCTTTCTGCGACTGTTTCATAGAGCAAAGTGATGTTAATTTTTGTTATTTAGTATTTTCCCGAAGTTTGCCTATTTCAACGCTTTGTTTACTTGGATATTCTCATAATTCGCAAACCATTCATTTTTCGACAAAAATAAAAGAATATTTTTTCATCCGGAATGTTTCAGACCGTTATAAAGTGTATTCATATTATCAATTAATTCAATGGCGTAGAAGTGTTGCTTTAAATAAGGAAACGCTATCCTTGCTTCTCCGCCACTGGTTTTTGAATTTGGACTGTGTGCATATAGAACTAGGAGAAATATTTGAAAAAAAAAATGTCTACCAAATTTGGATAAATTTCTAAATCCAGTTATTTAAAAAAATTGTTTTATTAATTTCAACGCCCTGTATCTCATAAACGGTGGCTTTCTGCGCTTATGTTCATAGATCAAAGTGATGTTAATTTTTGTTGTTTAGTACTTTCCCGAAGTTTGCCTATTAAAATCTAGACCACCCTGTACTATGTATGAATTATATTTTCGTGTAACATTATAAGTTACACTTGATATATAGCCCATGTATAGCCCATTCGTTCTGAACCCCTATATGTATATAGGTATAATAATATAGGTACCTATAACAAATACAAAAATTGAAATTCAAAATAATCATTGAAATCCGGGAAATCCGATTCAATCTTCGCCAGGTTGATAAAAAAATTTGTGCAATTGGAGCGGTCTGCCTTCAAGAAATCTTGGAAAATCTCCAAAACGGCCTGCGTTTTGGTTTCTGTGCAAGCACTTTCATTTGAATGCATGCACTTTAATTGTTCTATTGTTACGTGCTTCTTAAGTAAGCCATACTATTATGAATCCTCAGATTATTCTAATAAAAAAACTAAATATGGGGTTAACGGGAATTCGATACATTCCTTTGCAGGGGTGACAGGAGGTAAGGAGTAAATTTATTCCTAACATTTATTATGTAAAACTCAACAGTGTTTAGGATATTTCAATATTTTTTTTCTCAAAAACAGTAGATTTTATTGTCTTAAAAGTTAATTTTCAAAATATCTATTTTACATTTTTTTACTTTTATACCGGACTACTTGATCATGGGAAAATTAGAAAATTTAAACAAATCAGTTGTGAAAATTTATTGAACAAATATTATCACAAATTTTTCAACGTAACGTGAGTATTGTTTAAAAAAACTTGCTTATTTCAACAGCTACAAAGGTACAAATGTCCAACAAACCTTTGACACTATAAAAAAAATGTAGTAAAAATGATGCAATTATGTATTTATTTTCAGATAAACAGTATAAAAACGTTTAATATCGAATTTTCATTTAGAAGAGTTGCTTATATTTGCCGAGATGTTAATTATGGTCGACTATTTCGAACTGTTCATGCTAATGGAACTTCTTTTTTTTTAATTTGTCTTTATATTCATATTGGACGAGGAATATGTTATAGGTTTTATAACTTAATTGAAACATGAATAATTTGAGTAACTATTGTTTAAAAGAATATATACTTTATTGTTAGTTCTCATATGTTTACTTCATTATACATTTATTAAGCTAATTCAAATTCAGAAATAAAAAAAAAATCCCATCAAATGAACTTAAAGATAATCTAACTCCACTGACAAAGAAAAAGTAAAAAACGTATTGTAAAAACGTTATACCTAAACATGTCTTAAAATGTCCCATTTCTGATGCGGGTTTTTACTAAAATGGGAATTCATCATGTCACAAGGGGTGTGGCAGCCACATAAGTTGAAAAAATAAATGTGCACAGATTAGCGAAAACTAATTGTACACCTTTTGATTTTGCGGAAGGTGAATGTGAGTTAGTTTCAGGATTAAATGTAAAATATAGTAGGGGTGGATTTGTTATATTTTTTTTAGCGGAATATGCTGTAATTTATTTTTGAACATTGAACAAAAAACATCTCTATGTATTTTATTATTTAATATTTAGTTTACGAAGAAAATACTATTTTATTGACAACAACGTAAGGCCGTTCTGTCAGACTACAAATTTGTTGGAAATCTTTTCGTAAATAGTAACTTTTACATTTAGAGAAACACAAACACAATAAGAACCCTAACAGTAAATTTATATCCAACTAGCAGAATCTAATTTATAAAAAAAATATAACTACATTATTTTTTATATTTGTATAATAAAACAAAGTATTGATTTTTAATTAACTCGCTCGATGAAAACCTGTACTTGAAATAACGTTGAGTGCCGCTTTGTTGGATAAATTTACTACTCTTATAAAGCTATGGTGCTGAGCTGAACACATAACTTATTACTAATTGTTTTTTTAACAATACTTAAAAAAAGGGTACCTAGTAGCTTAAACGAATATTTTTATTTTTAGAACTCATTATTTTCCTTTCACTTCGTAAAATTATTTCTATTTAAAAACAATCGCTCTCTCTTTCAATGTTTTGTTTTCTCCTGAAGAGAGTTTTTATTTATTATTGTTCGTTTTGTCTTAGTAGGTTTAGTATAAATTGTTTGCTGGGCTTGACATAATTAGACAAAATTCTGAAAGATATCAATAATCTTTCGATTACAGGCAATTACAGGCAATTCAACGACTAAAGGTCCATACACACATCAGTGCCACATTAGTGCCGTGTCAGTTCAGTATCAGTGTCACTGAAAAATAAAATATCGTTACTTACAGTTTAGATTGATCTGTTTACACACATCCGACACAGTGATGTAAATATTTTACTATCACTCCCACTTCAGTGTCCGTTCCGTTATTTTTAAATACGTCGACAACGATATTTTTCCAATTTGTTGCATGTAAAATATATGGACGCATGTTTTAAAAATAATATTTGGAATAATATAGAAAAGAAATGATAATTTATCAATAATATTTGAAATAATATAAAAAAGAAATGATAATTTATTTTGATCGTCTAAATTAATCTAGCTTTTTTTTGTATTGTTTTTTTCATCTACATCATATAGAGCTATCGCAATAATTAATAGTAATAGTAAGTATAAGAAGCCACTTTGAAGATTTTTCACTACGGATGTGTGTAAATTGACATCACTGATTGACCACGGATAACACTGATACGACACTGATGTGTGTAAATGGACCTTAACCGACGGCTAGACAAATCTCGCGGCTGACTATCGGCGCTAATGGTCAGCGGACAAATAGTGCCAGCTCTAATTATTAGATACATTTACTTCACTTTCTTCACAATTATACCTGATTTTACTTTGGTATATCTTATTTAAATGACTTCTGATAAACAATAATTATTATCGTCTCATTGTTTCTTTGTTTAAGATACAGTTTCCCGAATACTGAGAGAAAATCGTTTTCTATACGCGGATATGCTTGCTTTTAAGAAAATATTCCAAACTCTATTTTTCTTAATCGTCTTACATCTATTAAATTTCATTATTATAACCCAGTCGAGCTACAATTAATTAAAGTTAAACAGAAATATTTATTGCTGATTTTATCGGCAACTAACGTCATGGAAATTAAATTGAAGTGAGAAAGATTAATACTTCAAATACAAACAAAATAACTAAACCAAATATCTATCTCAAAAACTAAAAGTCGGATATAGAAAAACATTAGGGTGTATTTCCATTCA